TTGAAATTTCCATTACCCAATATATCTATTGTGTAGTCTTATAAAAATTTACTAACTCTTCAATGAATGAATCTCAAAACTTTTCTTTCCCTTGGTTTGGTATCAGAGGTAATTCTCTGAATTCCAATACAAAGCATATTCATAAGACATAATGCTATGTACATTTCTATATGTAGCATAAAAAAAGCTCATCTCTACATTTCTACCCTTTGACTTGTCAACAATGTATTTGGAAACCTGAAAGATGTTGAAATACTTAATTCATAATTAATGCTATTTCACACAATGATATAAACAATATGTTCAGCTAAGTAAATTCATACTATGAACTGTGAATATACTTCAGATAAGGAGCAATGGTCTAAAAATGAGACATTAGGTGACTACAAAATACTTCTGGTGATATAAAGAAAAAAAAAAAAAGTACTTTTTCAAGTTGTTTTTCCCCCCCACAAACATACAGACATAGTTGCAATCCCACTTCTGGATCCGAGGAAGAAACCTGAAAATCTGGTCTTTCTTGTCTAATCCACAAAACAAATTAAAAATATGTAATATACTTCCACTTTCCCCACCTCACTTGTCTGAATCAGAATTTCCTGTGCACCGAGTTGCTCTGTAGCAATGATGTAAAAAATTAGCAAGATTTAGCTAGAAATAGAGGCTGGATTGATGACTTAATTGATTAAAAGTGATAAGTGGGCAAGGACTTTTTATATATCTACATCTACACCTAAATGCGTATGTGCACAGAACTTAACACTGTCTAGTCCTCCTGCCTCACTGGAATGATTGAAAGGCTTAAAAATCACCATTTTTGTCTTTCTACATGTCTTTCTTTTATAATACCAAGATGTGTGGAGAACAAGATGTTTTTGTAGACTTTTGCCTTAACTTCATTTAGTCCTGAAACAAAATGTTCCTAAACCCCAGGCAGAACTGTGAGTTTAGCTTATTAGAATCTTTTAAACTATAAACTTGACACTTCAGAGTTTCAAACAGTAGAAAAGCTGTAAACACTTATCTCGGCCAGTGTCTGACATTTACTCTGTTCAAGGGCAGTAAAATGTTCCTCTAGATATGCTAGTCCACACTGTAATGAAAATATTTTTTCAGCATGTTTCTCTAGTTCAATGGTACATGCACATATTCTCTTCTCCAAATCTGAGAGTGGACTGACATTCAATAGAACATGTTCATACAGATATTTACACGTAGCATTGAAGGAATACTCTTTTCCTAACTTATCTACCAAAGAATAAGGTTTATCGAGAGAGATACAACTTGGCCATTCTGCAATGAGTAACAACTTGACTTCTGCAATGAGTACATAGTAAAAATTGATATTTCTGAAAATTACACAAATGCAAAGATTAAATTAGGTAATCTGTGAACTTTATTTACTATATTTTACACCAGTAAAAATGCATTTTACATATGCCTTCTAAGAATCTCTAATTTTGGCAACATTATTGTTGCCAAACATAGACTCTGATTTCTTCCTCTCCCATGTACCGTATTCAGAGATGATTACATCATCTCAAAAAGATAGAAAAACAAAAATAGGCCAGGAAGGCCCATTACAGCATGCACAGAGTAATTAAAAAGACTATAACTTTTTAGTTAGAGACTGAGATAACTCAAGAAAAAAAGGGATATTATGTTTCTAAAGAGACAAATAAAATCATGTGCAATTTAAGTTCTCGGACAGGACAGTAACGTCTTCCATCTGTTGAGAACAGGCTTGGAAGCATTGGAGGAAACTCTGTTCCTTGGTCTAGCAAAGAATTTAAACTAGTAGTTTAAATATTTGAGCTAATTGTTGAAACCAACGGTAGTCATCTGAAGTTAATCACCAAATTGGTTGCTTCCCTGAAAAAAATTAGTAAGTATTAATACAGAGTAATCAATGTGGTTTTAAAACCTCTAGTAAAACTGAAAGACAATGGCATGTTCTATCTTAATATCACAAAAGCAAGCCAAATTATTTCTTAAAAAAAAAATCAAATTAAATGCAAACTATTAATATACATATGTTAACTTTAGGGCAAACAGGGAAAAGGTGAGTAAAACCAATTAGAAAATTATAACATATTAATATTTTGTTTTGACATCATTCCAAATTAAAATGTTTCTATTTTTATGTCAGACCGCTCCTCTTAAAAATACACCTTTTAAAGAAAAAAATAAATATTATAATTAAAAGTTCTGCCCACCAAAATCCTTTTAAACATTTTTTGTTTCTTTGTTTGCGTGAGAGAAAAAGTTTTGGTTCCAAGCAAAAGAGCAATTTTTCTAGTAGGTCTATAATTAAAGCCTTTGAGTGAATCAATACTTGCAAATGATGTAGGCAGGTCAGGAAGAATGTTCTGTTTCCTCCAAAAATAATGTAATTTTGACAAATCACTGGTAACCACATTATATTAAATTCTTAACAAAATACAAAGGCATATTCAAAAAGGTTTTCCTAGCAGTCTCATCTGTATAAGAAAAGAAATCAAGCTCATTAAAAATCAAAACTAGCTATTCCCCTTCTCATACTCATCAGAACTTTTTGCCTCAGGGTTCAGGACTTTCTGTTATGTTAGTAACGCCATGGACTGATCAAATATTTTAAACAAAGCTTGATTCAGTGTCATCACCCATGCATGCTTCCAACAATAGATTGCTGTACAGCAGACAAAAAGTTTCCTCCATGCTTTAGCTTTGAGAAACAGGGAAGTTAACAACAGAGAAGCTGTTCTCTTAAGCGTTTGCCATTTCTGCAAACCCCGTAGTTTCCAGTGCCCGAGGGTCTTGGAAATACAATCTATGCCCAAACTCTATTCTCAATATTTACATTCACATGACTTTGCTCAGGACTTGACTCCTGCATGTTCACTTCACCATACACATGGGTTGTTAAAATAATAAGCAGTCAGACACACCAAATCTTGAGACTGAAAGAATTCTTACAAAGTCAAAGCAGGCTTTTGCATTTTCTGCTGACATACAGTAAGAATTGTTCTCACCTGAATGATTTAAAAAACCCCTAAGATAACATATATTAGCAAATATTTAAACTTTAGATAAATAAAACTGACAGTCAATGCTACCACTATAGCATATATACAGCATGTTCATTGTATTTTCTTCCAATAAACAGAAGAACAGTACACATTCTTCTATGCTGGAAAACATGCTAAAAATGGGAAAAATATGTTAGGGACATTTAATCATAAACATAGGACTTCCATCTTCTTCTCAGTACCTCCATACAAAATATTTAGATTATTATTTATGTACTTCTAAATACATACTGAAGAAAAAGTGTCGAATCACCTGGCAAACTTGCTCTGTTCTTACATATTCAGGGTTTTTTTAGAAGAAATGTGAGGGTTGCAGATTAGCAGAAGTCTTACTGAAATCAATCAACTGGTATATTCTGAGTTCAGTATAGTTAAAAACTCAAACTTTACACTGTTACATCTGGGCAGAAACAAAGAGTGAGAAATACTGGTTTGAAAAAAATGAACTTTTTAGTAAATTGTGAAATTAAGAACCCCCAATAAAAATTCTACAACAACCATTCCTAAAAATGGTTTTGTTAATATCACAGCTTTTGTGCAAATAACTATATAGAATAAAAGTATACAAAGAAGTAATTAATATTTCAGAGCCTGCTTCTAAATAATGAGCAGGCTCTGTTTGTTCCCAAACATCAAGTTCTGGATTAAACACCCCAAGAATTCACTCCAACAAAGTAAGAGATAGTGCACTTGGTAAAACCTATTATAATTAAGTTTGGCAAGAAAGAAATTTTAAAACTATTCTAAAATTCTTGTGTCCAATAAACATATTTTTATTTTAACACCATTAACTACTCTGCATCAAGAAGTATTGTCAAAGCATAAGGAGATAAAAATTATGGATGGTGAAATGTTGCCATTTTTTCCTAATACTGCAATGTATTACATACTGCTAGCAAGAAAAACAGATCAAGTCAAAATAAACCAAGTAACAACCGAATGCTGGTAGAAATCCTTTGCCACTGAATGTAATACCACTGAAGTCAGTGAGGTTTTTGGGGTGTAATTGAGATCAAAGTTTGGCATAAACTCTGCCTACAATGTCAATTTTTTCCCCCTAAGACTATTACAACTAATATATGACAGACTTTATTTCCTTGAGTCGAGAGAAATATTCTGTATACCAAAATTACTAGTTTAGTTTAGTTACTGCAGCCTAAAAATTCAGTTACTGAACACTGAATATTGGATAAATGCTACTACAGAGCAGTATCCTCAACCAGGCCAAGGAATTCCACTGAAAAGATCCCATGTCCTATTTGGAGAGAGATGCAAAACAGGAAGGAAGGAATACGGCAACACGGTTCTTCCAGCCGTTGGTGTCAACCGTAAGTACACAGCAAGTATACTACTAAGTGGAAAATCAAAAAGAATACAGGTTAAAAAAATCTAATTGACCTAGCTTTCCTGGAGTTAACAAGGGAGTGAAACAAAACCTTATCAGACTCCCATCAGAATGGTTTCCAGGTACTTGCACCGGCGGCCAGGCCCCGCAAGGCAGTACCGCCTCCCACGCGGGAAGCGTCGGCGACATTTCACACGGGCTGGGTAAACCTGGAACGGGACCCAGGCTGGAGAACGGGACCCTGCAGGTAACGGGTTTTAGTGACAGGAAACACGGGAAAGACGGTTGGCGGCGGGAGGCCCTGAGGAAAACACAAAACCCAGTGTCAGGAGCCGCCCTCCTCTCCCGTGGGGTGACCCCGAGCCGCCGCCAGCCGCGAAGCTGCGCGGGGAGGAGAGCACCTCGCCACGGAGAAGGGCCCTCAGGCAATCACCCAGTCTGTCTGTCTGTCTCCAGCCCCGCGCGTGCCGTCACTAAGAGGCCCCTAGCAACCGTGCCCCGCCGAAAAGCGCCCCGCCAGGCACACTCTTCCGGCCCCCCTCCTCCCCGCGGCGGCCGAGCCCGACAGTTTCGTTCCGGGGCCTGTGCGGCGAGCGCCGGCCCGCGGAGGGGCTGGAGCCGAGGGAGCGAGGCTGGAGCGGAGCTCCCTGTCCCGCCGCGAGGGCGTCGAGGCGAGAAGAGGGAGCACGGCCGGGAGGTAGCGCATTCCTGGCAGCCCCGCGGCCCGTGGCGGGCAGGCGGCCACGACGGGGGGGGGGGGGGGGGGGGGGGGGGGGGGTGGCGGGGCCTCGGGGCCGTGCCCGGGGCGGCCTGGCGGTTCTCCCCGCGGTGGCTTGGCTTGGCTTGGCCTGGCCTGGCCCGACCGCGGGAGGAGGCTTCTGCCCGCCCTCAGAGGCCCCGGTGTCCCCGCGGTGACAGGGGCGGCTCAGTCACGCCTCGGGAGCAGAACTGCGTGGTTACTTTCCGTGAGACATCCCAGTAGCGAAGGCCTATGCCCCTCGCAGTTCCGCTGCGCCTCCCCCAGCCTGCTGTGTGCTGCCCTGGCACTGTAGGGCCACAGGAAGCCCCAGGCCCGTAAATGGCCGGGCCGCACTCCCCTGGTTGAGGGTCTCGGCTGCGTCCTCGGAAGCTGTTGCCGCCTCAGCCCGAGCCCCAAACGTGCCGCTTCCACATCGCGCAGCGGCGTTTAGCGAGGAGGGATGAGCAAGCACACGGCAGTGACTGACACGAGCGCGCTTTTTGACACCTCCTGATGTTTACACAGAGCCCCTGTACCCCGACTGAGGTTGTAAATGGTCTCGGAATTGCAGTTGAAGGGTGAAGTGTGGCGGGTACCCTCCAGCGGTGGTGATTTGTCAGGGTTTTGGAGATTAGGAGATTTGGAGTTGCCTATCATTTGTAGATGAAGTTGTTACGTTCTTAAAATTTTATGTCTGAATTGAGATTTGGGTCTTACAAGTTGTGTAAACTCTATTGCTGCCTTTTTTTTTTTTAGAAATATACATGTATATTTCTATAGCATGCATACTGCTGTAACTCTGTGAACAGCTATTGTTTGTGTCCATGAAGGTTTTCCTGTGCTGTTAGAGTAGCATATCTCTTGTCAATATCAATAATGAAAGTGCTACAGGGTGTCATAGTTGAACACAGTGCCGTAAGACATTATACTGAAAAGAATCAGTTTGCAGGCTGGGAATGCATGTCAAATTAACAGGGCCTCTGGCCCTCTTTGCTTCTCGAGGAAACTTGATAATAGTATGGGTTAGTCCGAGATGTAGGGTATATTTGCTTTATCTCAGAGATACTTTAAAGCAAATTGCACTATAAAATTTGTATGCATACTAGATTTTGTGTTTATTGGAATGGGCATCCTTGAACTTTCAAGAGTTACAGCTTGTTGGCAGAGGAGGTGAAAGTATCATAGCATGCATGGGTATTTAATTTTACCAGAAAACAACACCTAATTTTTCTGGGATTAATTTAAAATTTTTATTGGAAAGTTAGCGGGGTGTTTTGTTTTTGTTATTTTTCAATTAAATGACACTTGGTTTTATTTAAACACTTAACTTTGGATCCCATCTCAGGAATTATTGTTTGTTTGTTTTTGTTAAACATGACTGTTTTGTTACATCATTTCACAAGTGTGATCCCTGACATGAGAAAGTAAACCTAAATTAGCTGAAAGTAAATACTGAGAATGACTTTTTTCATTTTAAGTGATGCAGCACGGGGTGCAAAAGGCAGTTTGTAACTACTGCAGGCTCTGCAGACTCCTGATTGTGGGCTGCTTTGAAGATCAGAGGGGACTCTGAGTGACCTAGTCAGAAGGGTTTCACTAAAACAGTGACTATGGACCTCTGCACGCAGCAATACCAACTCTGTCTGGGTTGGGTATGGGCAAACAGTCATGTTTCTGATACATTACTTAGAGTACACACTGAAAATGTTATGGCAGCTGCAGTGGGTGAGACATCTGTCTTGAAGAAAGCCTGAAAAAAAATCCATCAGCGTTAATAAATACGAACTTGCAGAATGAGTCTAGACTGGGTCAGCCCTTACTGTCTGGTACATGGAGTACCAAAGCCGTTTTAGCTCTCGAGACTAATTTTTCAGCCTCAAGCCTTGCTTCTGGAGGATTCCTTTTATCTCACAAAGTTTGTCAACAGGGATTTCATTCAGGTAGTTTGGTTTGCCCACACACAATAAATTTCCGGATAAAGATGTGAATTTGTAAAATTAACATTTCTCTTAAGGATTTCTGTCCTGTAGACATTTAATTAATTGTCAGTAGTCATGCTGAAGACTAATGGGACTGTTCATCCAGGTGAATAGTGTCTACCAGTGTTTTCACAAGCTTTAGACACTGATCGTAAGAATAGTAAAAAATACAATCCTGCACAAGTTAAGTGAGTGGGATAACTCACCTTAGGAAAATTATGAATGTGCATTTATGTGCATTAAAGATACAGATCTCCAGTTCTTTCTAGCTGTTTATCTCATGCTCTCCTGAAGTCTGTTTGGAGTTCTTGGTGCTATAACAACTAAATCAGATTATTTTATTATTATGTAGGAAATACTTTATTTGATTAATATTTTTGGCTAAATAGGATCATACAGAATCATTTCCAATAAATTAGTATATTGGATTTTCTTTAACAGCTATAACATATTGTTTGTTTCAGCTAATCATGTCTTTAAATTCATCTACGCTCTTAAATGAAGAAAACCCTGAAGGACCAAAAAGAAATACTGAATGTTTGGAAAGTCTGGAATTGCAGACTCCGTCCTCATTTCAAGATCACCCACTTCAGCAATTACAGTTAGCATCACAGAAAGTACTTGAAAAGGCAAAAAAGAGTGGCAGATCAAAATGCCCCCGATGCAGTAGTTCAAGGATGTTTTATTGTTACACATGCTTTGTTCCTGTTGAAACTGTGCCTACCAAAGAAATTCCAACTGTGAAGGTTAATATTTCTTCTCAATTTTTTTATAATGTTCTTGTGCTTTTTAGTTACTGGGGACAGAGAACAGATAGTCTGTCTGTGACCATTTCTCTTCTGATTCTTTCTTTATGGACCTTCATCTTTAACACAGTATGAATAAACTACAGTTAGATCAAATTATTGTTCTTATTTGTGCAATTACATGTACAAATACTTGACAGTGTTCCAATACTCACATAAACTGTTATGTATCTACTAGATGAGAATATAAATTGAAGTCACTCAGCTTATTCCTATGTTCTCACTTAGTTCTTAAAAGTTTCTTTACAGTGCTCTTGCCTTCATTCTTCAGTTTCTAAGAACCCTAGCCAGAACAGGGTATATTGTGAACAAAAAATATGATTTGTCCATAACCGTGAGTGAACTTTACATAAGGCATTCCTAGTTGTCATGGTTGTGTGATTCAGGTAACCACTCTCAAAATATAAATAAAGAATAAAAAGTGTAGTGCCTTTCAGCTAATATACTTGAAGAAGGCATCAAAGAGGACTTAGACATTTTGCAGAATCACTTAGGAACTAAAATGCATTTTGAAGATGCTCTGTATTTTGAAAGCATCATGAAAATACTTTAGAAGTACTTTGGAAATTTGACCTAGGTATATTTTCACTGAAGTGGCCATTTTTGCAATAGGGTGAATACTTCAGATAAGTATTTATATTTAGACCATTATACTGCTCAGATTAAGACCACGTCTTATTTACCTTATTGATACTATTTCCGGAGGTTTTACCACACTACTGCTGCAGCATTCCAAATTGAATTCATTGCATACTTACGTATTTACATGAACTGAGAGAATATAACAGGTGCTTCTTGTCACTTGTCTCTAGTTTAGTTCTAAACCTATTAAAACAAAAACATTGTCAAAAGCTGTCAAATATGACTTAATTACATGTCCATAGGGATTTCTCCTAGATGTTGCATAAATTCTTGTACCTGTGATCATAAATATTGCTTATTTCTTTTTTTTTTCTTTCTCACTGTAGTTACCTTTGAAGATTGACATTATTAAACACCCAAATGAAACAGATGGTAAAAGCACCGCTGTGCATGCTAAGCTCCTGGCACCTGATGATGTTACAATTTATAAATACCCTTGCATTCCAGAATATGAAGAAAAAAGACATGAAGTAAGAAATTCTGTATAGATAGCCGGGCTTTGTTCTGGGGAGATGCAGAGGTACCTCCTGTACCTCCTGTGCGCTGGTACTGCGCTCTGCTGGGAGGGAGCAGGAGGGAAGCACTATTCTATTAATCTAGTCCACTCCATCTTGCAGTCTCTCACAGCTTGGGCCTGCAATTAGCACTATCTCAGCACCTTGAATTTTCTATGTTTACCACCTTAGATAATGGATAATTTGATTCATTGTGTACCATAAGAAATACTTTGCCCAAACTTATGAAATTACTCGATTTACAGCCAGTTAAACAGCAGTTAGGTGTTGTGCTCGTCATATTCAGCAGCTGCCGTATTTAAACTTCTGTAAAATTTTTTAACGTTTGCTATTACAGAGAAAACGTACTAAAATGCAACTACTGTCTATCGCAGTCAGCACAGAGCCTGAAAAAAGTGACCTATCAACTTGGATTTATATGCTCATTTAAATGGTGTGATTAATCTGAAATCTAATATTTGCACATTCAATGTCATAATTAACACTTCCATTATTGTTTGACTACCTGCAGAAGAGGATAATAGCCATATCTCATAGAGATGTACCTTTCATCAGGGAATGAGCCATCAAGGAAAGCATAGGTGGCAAAGAGGCAGGAAGCTGAAAAAAAGCAGAAAGAGCACTGGGGAAGGCAGGCAAAAGTGGGAAGGGAGTGAAGTGACTTTGTATTGTCCAGGCTTTTCAAGTCACAGATTCTGAAGGCTGCAATAAGCTACTGAAAAACTACTAAGTGTGACCATCACTGGTCTTTTTCATGCAATATATTTGTGGGACGTGCAGTAGACACGAGGGCAGAAGAGATCATTTCTTCTGATCTAAAATTTGTGAATGAAATTAGAAACTAATCTTTATGGCCTTCCTGCCCCGTATACTGGCATGACAAGTGAAATCTGAACTTCCTCAGGGCTGATGCCAGTCTCTTGGCTGAAAAAGTTTTTTTACAAAAGTATTACAGTTTATAGTGTAGTATTGAGGTGACATTTAATTAAAGGTCTCAGATATCTTTATTCATTATTTTAACATAATATTTTATCATTTTAGATTGTAGAATATCTTTTAAGAGATACTTTGTCTTGTCCTGACTTGAATGTTTGTGGGAGGGAATAGAAAATTTCTGTTCTTTAATGAACCAGTTCCTGGTGTTTTATTGGATTTTGTCGGTGCTCACATTTCTTTCTTTTCTTCATTTAGATAGCACTTATATTTCCTGGCCCAAATTCAGTTTCAGTAAAAGATATCACTTTCCATCTCCAAAAGTACACTAAGAAAAGTATTTGTGATAATGACGATGACTATTCCAGAGAGCCATTTCTTAAGCAAGCAAAAATGGAACCTAAAGAAGAAGAAAATAATCTAAATAAATGCATCTCGAGCAACAGGAGTGAAGGCACTAGACTAAAGAAAATAATATTTATTGACAGTACCTGGAATCAGACTAACAAAATAATAACTGATGAACGACTTCAAGGTAAAAAAAAAAAAAGTTGCTATTGAGGTGTTATTGCTACAGAAATAATTAAGGCAAATATATGTCCCTATAATAGACCTGAGCATGATATAAGTGTATATCTAATCCTATATCTGAGTATACATGAAAAATTTAACAGCCTATTTCAGTACTGTAGAAGATTTCCTGAGCCGAAGACTCCGTTACTTTCTATGTCATATAATTTGTTTTGCAAAAGAATGACTATTACAAAAGCATTTATATTTATTTCTCTCATTTCTTTACTGGAACAAATTTCCTCAGTCTCACAGAATGGAAGCTGTCATCTTAGATAGTAGAACAGTAGTTTGAATGACCTCTGAAGGAAGCCAGAAAGATTTCCTTTGCAGGTGGCTGGCTGCTTTTTCAGGAGACCCAGGGGAGCATTTTTGTACAGGCTAGTGGCAGACAGGCCACTAAAAGGGGAACGCGGGATCTAGGAGGTAGAACGCAAGTATGTCATGGCTTGGTTCCTTTTGCTAGTGAAGGTCTTTGTTTCATGGTCCTTTCAATGATCTCACTACTTTGCAGGCAAAAGGGGAATGCTTGCTTGCACTCTGCACCCTCACCCTCCCATCTCTGAAAGCAAAAACTTGTAATTATGCAAAGGTTTTTTGTCTTAGGTTCATTAAAAGAAGTTTACATTTAAGTATTCTAAATAAAACCACAAAAAATAAAACAATTTAGCAATAGCATTCCATTTCCTTTGAGATAAACAGGAGCTTGAAAATACTTTTATTAGTGAAAAGTGCACTTAGCTGGGAGGCAGGCTATCAATTTTATACAAGTTTATATATAAAATATATAACTACTTACTAGCATCTGCTTTGCACTGGGAATTTCACAGACTTCTTACATTCAAGATGAATGTTGCTTTGATGTCTAGTCAGTTTATTAAAGAATCCCACGTTAGTATAATGTATTGACTAATTAAAATCCTGTTTCTGAGTATTTTGTTTAACACAAACCATACTCTATCAAATAAACTGAAGTATTACTATAAAGATTAGAGTAATTGCATGTTGCAAATTACTGTAAAGGATTTGGAACTTATTTTGAAAGGATCAATTTAAGAAAAGTAACAGGCAGCCAGGGGAATGGAAGATTTCTGTGGAAGCTTATGCAGTGTATCAGTCAAAAATTCATGACTGGTGTTACTTTGGAGCTCTTAAAGAATGTTTTCCAGTTACCCCATGTGAATGCTGATCAGGTGGACTCTTCCCTCCTCTCTAGAACTTCATCTCCAATTCCAGTTGCATTCCAGTCCTCTCTTTCCCTGGGCACCTTTCAGGATTGCTGTAAGGTGTGACTGGCATCATGCAAGTCCACGCTCAGGGGAGAATTTTACCCTCCATACAGCAGGTATAACTGTGCACAACCTGTGTATTCATTGCTTTCCTTAGTGCTTGTCATAAAGGACATAAGTTGCATCAATACTCCTTTTAGAGACTGCAGTTTTTGCTTCCAAGATGAATGGGGCAAAGTTTCCTTAGGCATAAACTGACGAAGTTTTTATGTTGCACACACATGAAAAGTAGAGAACTGTTGTCATTTTTCAGTTCAACTGCAAAGGAAGTTACTATCCAACAAAATATTCCTCATATATTAGAGTTCAAAAAAGGAGTGTTCCTAATTCCAAATAAAAAGTAATTGCAGTACTTATTCAGATGGATTAAGTTATAAGAAATATTGGATGAAAACATTAATGAAGCCAAGAAAATGTAAAAAAAAACCCTTGTGTTTTATAAGCCTGCATCTATATAGAGAGTAAATCTAGCTAATTGTACTGCAAGTGAAAGCAAATGAGTACATCAATCTTTAATAATAATAAAAAAAAAAGCCTAGAAAACTTGGACAAAAGAATACTCTATATCTTCTTGGAAAAGTGGTATAATATATCATTAGAAAGCAAAACTAAATCAGTTGCGTCAAAGACAGGAAATAATTGAAAGTTGGCAATGTCTAGGATTGATAACATCATTAAAAGTGATCACTAGGTCAGAAAGGAAACAGTTGCATCTAACGATATTTATTACTTTCTCATATGAGTGATGAAGCTTATTGGCAACATCAAGATAGTTGTTAAACAGATTGGGATTTTTTACTGTAAGTTCGATCCACTTGGTATTACCCAAATGTCTTATTTTATTAGCGTACACATTCTCTTGTACAAGGCTGAATCATATATCTGCTCTGGTTGGGGTTTCTTTGGTTGGTTGGTTGGTTTGTTTGTAGGTTTTTTTTAAATTTTCTGTGCTTCCTTTAATTTCTGCAAGAAAACAGTAGCCTTTGCCTATGCACAGCTAGGATATATTTGAGAGCAGAAGGTTGATGTTCTCTGAGGCAAACTCCCCTCATCCTTCTTTTCTGACAGATCTCTTGGCGTCTTCTATTTTCAACTTTCTTCTTCCCACAAAATCACAGAGATGTGATGCAAAGAAAAAGTAGGAGTTCTGGCATGAGTTTCCACTTTCTTTCTAAAATAATATATGCTGACATCATTCAGGGGGCCATAGCAGAGGCAAGGTGAATCCAAAGCATGTAAACCCCTTCTTCCTCAGCTTAAATCATCAAGTTACTTATAAACCATGGGAATCTAAAAGATTAGAAAAGGATCAGAATTCCTGCCTGAAATAGCATTTTTGAACTGCTGCCTCTTTAGGAAATGAACTGTCATTAAAATAAAATAGGCACTTTAGCAAGATCTTAGACTCTTAATAGCTACCATAGGTGCAAACCATAATTTACTCAGCACTAGTATTTATTGTAGTGGATCTCCCAGTTGACTATGTGAACTATAGGAATGAAGAGGTTCTGTTGCAGAGTAAGCAACTGGCTTCTGTATGTGTGTGAACTTTATAGCTTACGTACATCTTGATATAAGAACTTAGAATCTCACTTAGATGTAATATCAGTGACCAAACATGATTAGTATAGGATCCTACAGGTTTGAACATTCAGTTATTGTAGTGGAGGAAACATAGGGACTGTGCTGTGATAATAGGATGTAGCATATAAGAAAAAAAAAGATTTACGGGAAGGCGGGAGATCTCTCTGAAGGGTACTGTCTGCCATAAGACACATATACAGGAGAATAACTTTTGTGTGGGAAATTTGGTTACATTACCAAAGCAGATTTAAAGGTAGCTCTATTTCCATTTTGCTTGATCTCAGTTTCATAGAAATGTTTATTTCTAATAAGCTGAAAGTAAGCTGGTGCTAAAAAGGCAAAATCAACATGTTGATTTCCTTAGTATTGTAAGCTTTTATATGCACAATCAGTATTGTCATTGTCTTTGTCTGTATAGAAACAGAGAGAGTACAGGTGATAGAAACATGCTCAGTAAACTGTAACTCTTAACCACTTCTAATATTTTTTTGTTGAAAAATTTCCTAAAATTCTATGTTTGAAATCAGCTGTTCCTGCATTTGTGATAAGCTCAGTAGTATCAGTGATGATGCCTTCAGTGAACTTTTCTTTGTATTCAAACCACAGATAGGTGGGAGTTTACACTGGAGGAATTGTCCCCTAAATTTAGTTCACTGCTGTTAAGGTGGAAACATCGCTGAATTTGATCAAAGTTTTTACTTTGACTGAGGCTGAGAATTCAAGTATTAAAACCTCTTGAGAGAAAGAAGCTTAATACAGTTTCCTATTATTATTCTGAATACACATGGATAGGATTATTAGAGGTATTAGACTACATGTTTTTGAATTTTTGGTTCCGAAATGCCAACAATAACACTTAGATTCTGTGATGAAATCTCCTGTTCTTCAGTTTTTTTAAAAATGCTGTAGGAGAGGTTTCTTCTACTATGCAAGATATATATTACCAACTGCAAAGCAAACAACTCAATCCATCTTGCAATTACACTAGAAAGAATTAAATGTAGTTTGAAGGTAAAAAGTATAGAATTACAAGTGCTGGGTTGCACCAGTTGGTGCTCCTGGATTTGGACCTTACTAAAGCTTATCTGCCCAAACTTCTCTGTCCATAACTTCCAAGCAATTCTTAAACCATATTGGTATTTATACTATTACTTGTACTAAACCATCCCATGACACACTTGTAGTATCCCGATTTTAACTTTTAGAAAAATAAAATATTTCAACCTGATCCTGGTATTATTGACAGGCATATATGCTATTCTTTATAATCCAACTGTCCCTCCTGTTTACAAAGTGATTACACATTAAGGTGGTTTTAATTTTGAATAATTTGTGCCTCTTAAGTAACATGAAAACCAAGATACATGTTTAAAAATCATCTGAGTAATAAAACAGTTACAGAGACTATAGTAAATACAAGATTTTCATGTGCCATACAGAGGCTGAACTTACTTATTTCATCTCAAGTGAGAATGTTTTAGTTTCTAATAAAATTAAAGACCATAATTACTCCTGAGTAATGCTGAGATTTCAGTTACTTAACAAGCATAAATGAAAAATGTCTGGCTCTTAGCAAATATTCATCAGTTCAGCAAAACTAACAGTCTGAAGGATTCTGGTTTACACTTGAAAGGTACTAGATTTGCAAAAGATTAAGTTTATTAATCATTTTGTGAACACTGGTGAGTCTCTGTAAGTGTGCGTTTCATTCTTCCCATCTGAAGAGACCCTGCAGTTTACTGGGGGCTGTGAGGCTATATAAATAAAAGATAACTTACAGGTTTTAATTGGAAATATGAGAATTGTAACCTAGAATTTACAGCACTTTTTCATCAGATTTCAAAGTGGTCCACAAAGGAGGATAAAATTATTGCCTCCGTTCTGTAAATGAAAAATGGAGGTCCAGGAAGAGAAATTATTTGCATGCAGGCATGTAGCAGGTTAGCAGCAAAGTCAGAAAACAAAACTAAGGACCTGTTTGTCACCCCATCCACCAATCCACATTGTCTAATGTATATCATCTTTTTTTCTTGACAGGGTTGCTGCAAATTGAATTGAAGACAAGGAAAACTTGCTTTTGGCGTCATCAGAAGGGAAAGCCAGATACATACCTTTCCACAATAGAAGCAATTTATTATTTCCTTGTGGACTATCATCAGGAGATTTTGAAAGAGAACTACAAAGGACAATATGATAATCTGCTTTTTTTCTTTTCATTTATGTACACATTGATTAAAAATGCCAAGTGTTGTGCAGGAAAATAAGATGTCTGTCTATAGGTAAGTAACACTACATTTTATTTTGTTTCTTTCGTAATGATAAACTGCACATGTGTACCTTTTTATCTAACTGAAATCTGGAAATAGATTGTAGTCTTAATAATGGCTGCTGTATTTGTTCAAAACTAAGCTGCAAACTTCATGTCCAGCATACTTGATGTAGAACTACTCAGATGAGCACTCTGAATAGAATTGCTTATTTGAAAACAGTCCTGCTTTGCTAAATATTGCTGCGTTTGAACCTACAGACCTGATACGCTCATCACAGTGAGATTGTTTCCTGAGGTAGGGATAAGAGGATTTGGCTCCTCTTGTTGTAGATCTCTCTAACTGTAAAAAGGAATTAGCATGCTAGCTTTTTATTAATACGTTCGTTTGGGTGTTTTGCTCAGTAATACTGATTTCATTTTTACGACATCAAAAGTATACTGAAATTAGGATGGTATTTAATTGGGGGTGGGGGGGGCGGAAATAGAAAATTAAAGACCACATTAAGTGAATAGAATATAAATTACGTACTTCCAAGATAAATTCTGGAAAATTGTCCTAGTAATAGATAAGATTGATCTCATTAGACGTCATTATACAGTGCATGATTTCTATCGTACCATTCACATTCTGTTACGTTAAGATTATTCTCAACTCCTTGGATAATTTTAGACTACTTCAAACATTAATTTAGTTAAGTGTTTATTATCATTATATAATATAATTATTATTTTGGGGAACACTAACTTAACAAATGTCACTATGGCATATCATAGACAATAAAGTTTTATAGATGTCACATGCTTATTTTCTAAGCAGCAGAAAGGGCTCATTGCACTGTAGGAGTTGTCTGAAAACGTAGATCTTCTTGCAGGACCTAAGACAAAGTAATCTGCAGAGAGAAGAAACAGGGAAGATGGTGGTTGCAACAACATTTCTGACAAGACTTTCTTAAATTAGGCAGACTATGAATCTGCTGTTTTTCCTTTTGCAGTAATACTGCAAATTTGAGCAGCATAAATAAGACTGCCTATGCTGATGAAATTTTTGCTGTAAGTGTAGCACTGCTCACAGTCATCACACGTGAATGTAATTGTACAGGTGTGACTTTGCCAAGCTATACCAGTGCAGCTAATGCTGGCAGAGGTAATAGAATAGACCTAAGCTATATCTTTACAAGCAGAGTTGTATTAATATATTTTTATCATGATGCAGTGTTCTGACAGAAAAATTCACGATGGTAAAAGTTAAAGTCTTAAGGTAGAAAAGAAATGTTTCATTAGAGATACAGTATAAGATGGATAAATATTTCTGAATATTCCCAGAAGTATGAAGTATGTTACTGGAGAAAAAAATAAATCTTGTCAAGGTGACACAGACTGAAAAATTATAATAGATTATTTTTAAAACAAAAATTCCAAAATTTTTGTTGTAGATTTTCCTCAGAAAATCTGCCCAAATTGTCACTTGCAGCATACTCTCCAAGAAGTAACTCTCACACCCTGGTAAATATAGTGTCATGAAAAATACTTTAAGAAAATCTTTATACGCTTACACAGCAATCCATACAGGTTCAAACAACTGATTCGTACTATATTTTTTAATGCATCAGAATATTGAAATCAAAGTTAACATTGCTTAAAACACAAGATACAAATACACTCTGCAAGTCATACTTCAGATTTGTATGCTTCTCTGCACAAGTGAATGCGTATAAAAATGTATTTCAGTAGACAACCAAGACACATCTCCTGAATTTGCAAAGAGAAGTGCTAGTTAAGTTACATGAGTGCACATAAAGTGTGTATGAACTATAGCAGCACTGTAAGAAACACAGGCTTGAAGTCAGAATGAGAAAGACTGTTTTTAAATATACATCTATATTGAGTTCATGTGCCAGGCAATGAGAAAAATCAACAGCCATGTCTCAGTGCTATTGAAACAACACGTTTCTTAATAATTTGGTTCTTACTGCTATTGAGAGGTTATTCTGGCTTTTTACAATGATTAATGCTATTTCCTTTGGTATGGATTTTGATAAGTCTTTTTACATTTCCATCTGTTCTTGTATTTCTTAAACAAAGATTCTTGTAATATTTTTAAAAAATCACACAAGTATAATAGCTTGAGAAGGAAACTTTCACCCACTTTAGACAAAAATAAAATGAACCCACTGACCTAATGTTTTACAGGAAACAGAGAGAAGAATCTGGGGGGGAGTGGGGGGAGGGAGGGGGAGTTACTTCCAAGACACATTTCCCTGAAAACATGTTTTTTTATTTAAGAAGCAGAGGTCAGATAAAAGCTTATATAAGCTGTTCTTTGTTACTTTTGGAAAATAGTTTCATAAGGTTAAAAATGGTTTCCAAATTTAAGTTTTGTGTACCTCACTTTATTTGAACAAGGGGAATTTAGAATCTATTCCAAAAGTAAATTAATTTTAATTCTCAGGTGAAATCAATGTACAGAAAAGATTTTAAATCTGGAATACTGTGTCCAGGGATTGGGTTCAGATTCTTTTTCTTCCCGTGCAACCTCAGTGTAATACAAAAGTCATTCTAATACCAAGTGACAAAGGCACATCTAATATCTGTAATTAATTATGATCTGTTGATATTCCTGTGATAACTCTGTATGAGGGCAGGAAGGAGGTTATTGTCACTTCTGCTGCAAATCTGTTTTGTCTGAGCAGCAGATGTAATTCCCCCCTTTCTTCCATCTCCTGCTCTCCCCTCTCTAAAAATATTTAAATCCTCTATTTAATTTCAGTACTGGTATAAGAAGCCAAACCAACAAAGTCATCCACCTCACACTGAAAATGTCTCAATATCGCTGATATATCTTTCGAGCTTTGAAACTAAAGAATAATTTTGTTCCACTGAATGAAAGCGATCAAGTGGTTAATCCTTTCAAGTTCAATTAGCAGCACTGACCTTCCTGTTCTTTAAAATGAAGGTCAGGGAGAGGTAAAGGCCACTTCTGGGCCTTTTCTTTCATATCAGAATACCCCTTCACTACCTATCTCTTCTGTTTCCAAAAACATTAGAGAGCAAGGAGGAAAACAGGCTTCTACTTCCATTAGCAGTAACTTAAACAGCCATAAGTTAAAGGGGGAGGAAAAGGAAGAGCATCTCTATCTTTCTCCTTTCACAACAGAAGACATCTGGCCTCCTGTGGGGAGGCCCCAGATAACAAAGAACCTGTCATTACAAACCTCCACGATGTGTCCAGAGAACCATTTTACCTGCGGTCTGGCTCATTCATTTCCTGCCACTGAAGCCATCTGCTTTTGCTTACTGTGGGTATTTTTGTTCTTTGTTTAGCCAGGAGCATGAAGTGGCTTCACTTCAGCATGCCTGTATGCTTGGTCAGAGGGAGTGTTTAATCCTTTTCTCAAAATGAGTAAGAGAGGGAGCTGCAAAAAAACAATTCCTTTTCTGGAAGGTAGCACAAATGTCATCCAAGCCTAGGTTGAATAAAGGGTCATGTCACTGCATGGGTTAAAGATACATTGAGATTGAAAAGAAATGTCAACTTGGAATCTACAGCAGAACTTCCCAAAGCACTTGTAATCTCACCTGATTTAAATCCTTTGTCACTGCTTCTTGCAATTCTTTTTCAGTTTGAGTCCAGCTGGTTTTCCACATAGGCTTCCTTCAGGCCCAATTGCAGAGTAACATAGTGATCTGTTCTTGTTTTTCTCTTGCAATGAGTTTCAGTATTTTGCCTGAATGCTTTAAAAATCAGTCTGCCCTTATAAAAGATGGTCATAGCATACTTATATAAAATGTAATGTGATGTATAAATGCGTTCCACCTATTCCTATCCTTGAAAATACCAAAGTAAGGAGAGGGGAAAACTTACTATTTTCCCATCATTTACTATAATGCAGTTAATATACTCCCAGGTAGCACTGACTTGTGTCTCAAAAGTACTCCAAAAAGCTGCTCATCAGCTGAGTTCAAACTTGTTTTGCGACACAAAACTTAATGGTAACTGCAGCAAGGTTAGAACAGGAAAGCTTTCCCACTAAGATGAAAAGATTGTGTGGCAGTAAGACACCAATCTATTGATACCAGAAAATGAGGTCACCCATTAAGGTACCAAACAATGTAACATAATTCTCGAACTGTTACCCCTTGTCTTGAGACATTATTTTAGTAAAATTCCAATGCTGTCATTAGTAAGAATGCTGATTTTGACTGGGGACACTTAGTAATAAATACTGACATTCAAAGTAATTGTTTATATGAATAATTTACAACATTTTTCCTGTTCGCTTGGTGGGAAAGTTAACACATTGCTGCCATTTTATGGATTCTGAAGATAAATCAGATGCTGTAGAATTTTGAAAGTAGTGTATCACATTAAACTTTAAAAACATTCAATAGCAGTGTGGTTTCTTCATTACTACCTGACAGAAAAAAATTCAAATGGTTGAATCCCACAGAAAGAGATGGGAACTACTTCTCTAATGCAAAACAGACTTCGTAATTTCACCTTACTGAAAATGGAAATTTTTGTCTAACTTCAGCAATACTGGTGCTGTTATAACATTCAAATCAACTATGATGTTACTGCTGACTTTTCAGACCAGTGGTGTTGCAATAGGATGTTTAGAAACATACCACAGAAGAATGAACGGAAGAGAATACTCCACACCAATATACCCAAGATTGAGCCCAACTCAGCCTGCAGTCCTGTGCGCTTCACTTCCCTTACCTGTAAAGTTAACTTCTGCCTCTGAGTAACATGTCTCTACGTATGAAGCTGGGCCCATAAAGCAGTTGAACTCAGCATGAAATCTAAAGGCTGAGTATTTTTAATTCAGAGGTTCTGATGATAAAATTTTCCAGCAGGGATAGAAGAGTTATACAGAAGTGTGTGTGTGTGTAATATCAATAAGTATATACCTCCCTCCTCGAAATAAATGCATTAGGACATGAGCCAAAGATTTTCTCCTATGCTGTTTCTGTCTTAGGGAACATAGAGACAAGGAAAATCAAAGTGTGGTATCAGAGCTTACAGAATTAAATAATAAACTGTTACATGTATGTAGCAAATGTATACTTCAATTAGATACAGACATATAGCTGACCCTGTTAATGTACACAGATGAGTAGTTTGACTAGAAGTTCATTTGTTAAGTTCAGATGCGCTATCCAGGACAAGTGCTGTATTATCCCTCCAAACAATGCACTGGAAAAACAAGTATTTCATACCTTTTCACCATTCTGAATATCGCTGTTAATGACCCTAGTATAGTTCCTACTTGTCTCATAAAGTACCATGTTTTCTTTGCATCTCCAAGTGAAGTATTAAGATTTGTTAAAAAAAAAAAAAAAAAAGGACATCCATCCAGGCTTAACAGGGCATGCCAAAAGAGGCCAACAGGGTAAACAGATTATTCCAAAACAATAAAAAGACTAAAACTGCAGAGAAATTTTAGTGTTGAACTACACAGAAATTGACTCACCTGCATAGAGGAAATGCCATGGATCATGCTCTGCCATTTGTTAAGCAGAGAAGAGGAGGAAGGAGCAAGAGCACACCCACTCTGGTACTAAGGAAAATGTGTTTGCCTCAAGTAATTGTGCACGTGAACACCTATAGTGAACATGCGTATATATGAGCCTTTGTGGAAAATTTGTATTATATATAGTGCAAGATAGTGTTTTCCTTGTTGTCTTTTCCTTATTGTCTTTTGATTACTTACTGGAGAATAAAATAATCAAACCAGAGTTAGTGTTTTTCTGATGTTTTAGCTTTTTATTAATAATACACATTTAGTTCATGAATTCCTCAGTTTCTGCTAGTATTTATTTCAGTGTAATTTTATTACAAACAATGGCATGTAAACCTATTAGTGTAACTGTAAATTTTGTAATATACCTTCTGTCCTACCAAAGTGAAATAAGACCTAGCCTTTACTCTGTGACAATACATTTTTGTACTTATGATCTGGAATAACATGTAACTTTTAATAAAACAAGTTGTCTGTGAGGCAAATAACATGGACTCTTTTTTTGTGACATTTTATGTCTCAGTATCATCTTCAACAGACATGCTATCAACAATAATTGGATATAATCTTTAGTCATATTATTGTCTATATCTGTTAATGTCAGCAAGTCCTGGTTTTAAACATAAGCATAAACATTTAGGACTTCTGAGGCTTTCGTCATAATGAGTTAGGCTGGTTTCCATATGGCAAACCTTACTTCTACTCAATTAAAAAGTGAATTATAAAAAACATTGCTAGGATGCACTCTATTTTGAAGTATCTCATATAATCAGTGAGTCTTTTTTTTAAACCAGACTTAAATGCCACCCTCACAGCTTAAAGGTCTGCTTTAGTACAATTTCTCAACCTATTTGCTTTGGAGACAGATGCTAATGAATTGAACAGAATAAGACTCTTTGTAAGTCTAAAAAAAGTATCCTTAGTGTCTTTTCTACAGAAGAACAACACTTTGCGTTACAGCAAAAAAGTTTGCTCAAGCTGAAACTACAGAATGAGTTTCAAATGTTGCTGCTAATACTGAATAAATTTCAAGAACATCATAAATGGTTTATTTCTTTCAAAAACTATTTTTGGGGCTTCAGTGTCATGACTAAATTGTTTGTCAAATGCATCATGAATTCCAGCTGACCTGAACCTGCATTTCCTCGTGATTAGTCTACACAGCTGAAACATTCTTTCTGTCTCTGTTCACAGCCTTCCTTTGGGTCAGGTTAATGCTGCAGAGTCATTTTTTTTCATATTTACAGCAGACAAGGAAGCAACCCGATACAGCTTAAATTTTCAGAAACATCATGTAAAGCACCTCAGTCTACTTGAAGCAGTTGGATCACACTACTTCCCCTTTTAACCTCACACATGTCTATGTGTTTAGAATATTGGCTTCAACCTGCATACCTGTCACTTAAGAGTACAAAAATGCATTCTTTTATATCATGACTGTATTGGCAAAAAATGTAACATAGAAACCTTTACACTGCCAAAAGCTTCCCCTTTTCCTTGAGTATGGCTTACTTTATCTGGGGAACTGGTGCAAAATCAATGCGTGAAGCAGCTGCCAGGGAGTTTGCCAACAAAACTACACTGCTAAACCCTTAAAGGCAGAATAATCTCTAACATAGGCATAGCCTAACTGATTTTGCTCATTTTAAAAGGAGAATCCATTGATAACATATAATGGGATAAGAAACAAGAAATCTTGAATCTTTTGAAGCCCATGAAAACTAACACGGTAGATTCAAGCAAACAAGGTAACGTGCAATACTGTAGCTGTTCCAACATATGGATAACCCTATGGAAATGGCCAGGATTTCTTTTTCTAGGGCCCTGCAAAGTTCTGCTCTCTCTGTATAGACAGTGGCCACTTTCAGTTAAATGTGACTACATACATTCATCTTGCAAGGCACCAGTTTAGGAAAGTCATTTATTTCTGTATGTTGGCACTTCTCTTACGAGAAATTAACTTACCGTAATGAGCACTGTACTGAACTCCGTCACTGGTTTTTAGTATCTTTTTTTGCTTTCCAGAGTTCCAGTATTGGCATGCTAGTGATAACAGAATCGGGATCTTCCTGTGCTGCTGACTTTACTGTGTCATTTACACCAATGGCCAGAGCCAAGTCTGTATCTGAGACAAAAAGGAAATATATTACAGTATGTGTTATTATGAAAGGAAAAGCCACTGCTTTAAGTTATCAAGACAACACCAAAGCACGTTAATCAAGCATACAATAAATGATGACAGTTTGTTGCTTCATCTGAACGAAAAAATTAAGTCCATCTGTTGGTGTTCAAACCTAGAATCGAATCTTGGCACTTACATGTGCTAATGAAATCTATTTAAAAAAATTTGTGCATTCTCTCTGTAAGATATCATAAAAATAAATACTACTAAGATTTAAGAGACAGTCTTACACAAGGCCCTCCCGAGGTTGCTAAATAGAGCACATATGTGGAAACTGAGGATGACGTCCATTATATTATACCGTGTAGTTTATTTCAACACTACTCACAGTCCAAACCTGCAATCTCTGTTCTGTTCAGTCCCATGGCTCTGCATTCAAGAAGCACTTGATTTATGCACAAACCATTGTAGGTCCAGGAATTAATATTTTAGTAGTCTAAGAGATTCCACAACTTGGGTTAAGATGGTAAAACACAGATCTAAAAATTGCTAGTAATTCCTAAAACCTCTAGCCACAGTGCTAATGAACATTGTATTTCTAGAGTAACTCTGCCGATACAGAAATGGGGCTTAGTTTAGAGCTGTAGGACCTGCAGTATCAACTAGATCACCTTTACCCCCATGCTATGGAATCCTTTCAGGGTCGTTTAATGGGTTTGTGAAATGTGACATCTGCAAAAGCAGCAGTGATTTCTTTGCCAAATGTATTTACCCATGTGCCTACCAATCATTTTCTTTTTATTAAAAAAAAAAATAAAAAGTTGTTCGCAGTTTGCCCAGTAAAGTCAAGCTTAATGGTCTGTACATCTGTTCAGTCTCCTAGAGTCCTTATTAAAATCAGCATCGCATTCCAGCTTCCATTCCTCTTAACCTTTTTAACCACAGGGCTGGCTATGCCTCCCAGGAGCCTGGCAACCAGAGACGGCAAGGATGTTCTGGCTGTACAATTTTTATACCTTCTGCTACAGCCCTCCAAGTGGCTGAGATGAGTGAGCCAAAGGAATTTAGCGTATTGTTACACAGAGAACAGCCTCCAGCTATAAGACAACCATAGGTCTTCTTTGAGCAAAGAGGGGAATAAAAACAGTCTGATACAGAAATATCTGTTTTCCCTGCTGTTTCTAAGTTCCTAAAATGCATGCAAAAAATAATATTGACAAACTTACAACACCAGCTACAACAATGCAAGCAATTTAGCCCCACTTACAGCAATGAAGCTCCACCCATTTCCGACATTTCTGAAAAGTAGATACATCATCTTGCCTTTCCAGAATGAGTTTATAGGGTGGACAGAAAGTCAGAAACATTTTAAGATTGTCATCTGAAAAGATTTGCCACGGAGTCTTCTCAGATGCGGTAAATTCAAGATCACATGGTACTAAATTTAGCTCATAAACCCACCCTCATGGGCTATCACCTGCATATTTGCTTGGAACAAAATGATACAGTTTGAATCCCATCCATTAAGCTGGGTCCAGTGATGCAAAGCAGCTCTAAAACAGATAAAGGAGTGAAGAATTCTTATGTGAAGGAAATATGGTCAGTGGAAGGTGATAGAAAGATCTGAGAAGGTGCTGTTGAAACTACCAGATCCCGACCTGTCAGTGGCCCATGTAGTCTCTGGTTTAATATTTGGCAGCCTCAGAAGCAAAGGGAAGGCCGAGGAGCAATGTAGGCCCATTTTTGCCTTTCTGATACTACAGATCATATGCATCTCCAGAGAAACGATCACAGCTGTTATGGCCTTCCTTACTTACGCAGTGTATAATATATTGGGAAAGATTTACATCCTCACAAGCTTAGGCCTTACACAGAAAAAAAAATAATCCAAAAGAGACAATTCAGTGAGTGAAAATTAAAACCACAAATCATTAACGCCCTGAATATTGATGTGTGTGTGTGCGTGTGCGGTGTTCTTAACACTGCAACGTTCTATTTGGAATTCATTATTTTATTGCAACTAAAGCCTCTGACCCTTCTAAAAATGATTTCTTTAATCTTCAGGGGAAGAGTATATAAACTTCTTGACTAATAACAAATTTCTAGGAATGTGAGTGTTTTCTGTTGGATTTTTTAATGTGACTATACAAAAACAACAGCACTTAACATTACTCTCTACAGCAGCCTGCTTTGCTGGGGGAGGCACTTTGGCAGTCCTCTTCCTTTTTTTCCATATCCCTCTCCTTTCAGAGGCCCCTCATCATGATGACCCATCCATTTGGCTAAGGGCTGCATGCAGCTGCATCTGAAAGAAGCCAACTGTATTCTTGGGTCAGCTGGAGAGGCCTGCTTGATTACAACTTTAGGTATATACAGTGCTTCTAATGCCCGTAACTTACGGGAGAGAAGACTTAGGGCTCACCTCAGGTTTCAGCAGAGGTGCAAAATGGATCAACCAGATACAAAGCAAGTGTTCACCAGTTTCAGGCAATCCAGTGCATAAAAACTAATTTATTTAAGGATTTTCTCCTACATTCTTGGAACCATAGTCTTTTGTTCACATGCATTCATAAAATACTATAACTTTTTGCAATTTGTTATAATGAAAGAAGAATGATTAGCTGGCACATTTCATCTCAGTGGCTATTCTGTCCTGTAGATGGGATGTGTGAAAACTGAATGCTTCCTGATCTCTGATAATATTTTCCATGTATAGTTATCCTACAAAATTAAACTCTCCTAAAATATCATGGCACAAACCTTTTTGTTACTGTTGCAAATTGAAAATGAATGTTGACCAAAGCTTGCCATTCTTAGGGAAATCTCAGACTGAATAGCTGATTACTCTGTATAAATCTTGGCAATGCTGGGTTACCCATTTTTAGGAAAAGAAAGATTTTTTTATTTGTTTATTTTATGTGAACTAACATGAAGAGGGAGGCCCAGTGAAGTAACTTCAGTGACTTCATTTCATATTTCTCTGCTATAAACCAGTACTGTTCAAAGGGTATTGGAAAAAAAAAAAATCCATTTAAGGTTTGTTCCCAAATTCTTTGTATTTCTGCTATCCCCAGCTCAGTAATTGTGGCCTTCATTATTTAAGATGACAAAAACTCCTAGCAGAGTTCACAGATACGAAGTGGGGCGTTGTTTATAAAGGTCTAATCATAAAGGACAGGTCTGACTTATGTCATAGTTGGAATATACATCAATAGTAAAACCTCAGCATTCCAGGAAATGACAAATGGCATAAATGTGATGAAATTAAGATTAGCGTAGTCTTTGGTCTAGGGCCCTGATGAACCCTTCTTTCCTATGCTGTATCATTACAAAAGGAAGAGGACTGTAGTACTGCCGAGATGTATG